AGCTGGGGACATCAATACCGCACCTTCAACAAAATGGCGGATCGACTGGCAAATATCGCTATGGACACGGGATCTTCTATTCAAACGCACGCTATCTCGAACCCAGGTCTGGTCCAGGAGGCTTCAAACTTCCTTGACACTGATGTCAATCATTGGTTGAAGACCTCTCAAGCCGACCATCAACTCGTCATACAGGGCCCCGGGCTGACCTCGAGGAACCTGATTATCTCGAGACAGGAGTCTGCGCGTAGGCGCTCTGCTGTGCGAGGACTAGCGCTACCTAGTATATAAAGTAGCGGTCAATCAGGTAACTTTGTTGCCGGATGACAGGATATAGCAGGTCGTACGCGTACCTAAATATACCTCACCTTCTCACTCACTATCTCTGTGGCGAAGTCTAGGCAACATTAAGTAGAATGAACTCCAAGTCTGGGCATCTGGTATGTATTTCCGTTTCTTTCAAGCGCGACACGGAACGATACAAAGGATTTTCTCCACCCGGACGACGATCCATCGGGTGCGAAGAGTGCATTACTTATAGCAGCTCGCGAGTTTTGGCGTTGTGTCGTTTCTACGACGCTACATGCCATCTGGAACGATCGTCTCCGCCGCATAGAGGACCCAACTCTACCACAGAAGGTACACACCGCCGGGGCTCAACTTTAATTTCGCCGATCGGTCACTCGTTTTCGCGGATCCACGTTCCATTCAGATATGAAAGCGAATGGCCATTTCATTACATGGGTGCGGTCGGCCCTTGCTAACTCTCTTCTGTGCTACTATGACCCCTCCTCGTTGCGATAATTACAAAGAAACAGCGACTTATATGTTCTTTACCTTTAGTTCTTTGACGGTGGATCGCGTGGAATTGCCGGGCCGGGTGGGACCGAATTTGTCATCGTCAAAGTGCACGTTTCGACGCACGCCGTTTTCATCATGTGGGTGGCGAGCATGTCCTACAGCTCTAATCATACTGCTAACAGTGTCGCGGAGTACCGGGTCTAGTCACTGGTCTCCGCCAAGCAAAATCTAGCGTATACTCACATTTGCATGTCAATGGGGACAGTGCGCTCGCGCAATATTAACTTCGTACCCATCACCCCCCCCCCAGCAAGCCACATCTAAAATTGCCGTTTCAGGAAGCACAAGCTTCAGCAGACGATATGGAAGTCGCCAGCTGGGGCCATCACTACTGCAACTCAACAAGATGGCGGATCGACTGGCCAATCTCGCTATGGAATCATGTGATTTCATTCAAGTGCACACTACCTCGGGGCACCGTGTAGTCTCAGAGGTCGCGGCCTTCCTCAACAGTGATGTTACCACTAAATGGTGGTTTCCTAAGCTCAGAATTACGGAACTACCGATCCGCTAAGCGCCACTAGGCAGTCCGAAGACTATTTTTACCGTAGATAAATAAATTATGTGTCATCACGTTACTATTGTTGCATGTAGAAAGGATATAGCGGGTAGTTCGCGTACCTAAATAAACCTCATCTTCCCATCGTCATCATCCGATTTTTCCGGTCCATCAGCTTTCCAAGCGATCTAAGTAGGAACCGTGAACACAGTTAAAACCCCCAAGGAAAATCACTTCCACCTGAGGCAAGGGCGACCTCCGCAGGCCCTCAAAACATTTTCCTTCGTGGCGATCATCGGACGCATTTACGTTGATCAATAGGGAGCGGTCCATCACCAGTGTAATGAACCGCTTGAAGCCATTCCTGTTGCCAAGGCTGACATACGTAGAGCTGCCGTGGGTCTTGTAAATGCGCTGCCATACCCGTTTTGTCGCCGCTCACACTCTAGTAAGAAGCCCCGTCGACTGGTGTAATATGTTGACACCCCAAGCGGGAGGATTACAATTGACTGCCGAACGTGCTTCCACCTCCGAACATATGTGAATTTATTGTAGTCCCTATACACTGGATGTCTATGATGAGGTTGCTTCCCCACCCAGCCATCCAGGAGCGTAAAGCTTCACGCGGGAAACCGCGGACATTTTGAGAGGACATAAATGATGCGCTGTCCGGCCATTATGGCGTGTTTGTATAGCTGAGGGGTGGGAGAATAGTTCCTGTGTCACATAATGCTCCATACAAACGTCGCAATGTCGGTTCAGTGGTATTGGGATCTGAATCCAGTTGTGCTGCTAGGTGCTATTATTAGTGTAGAGTCTGTAGACCGGACCCACCTTAAAGAAGGTGTTCAGGATTACCCCGTCATGTTGTAGGTAGCGTCGCGATAGACACGGAGATAATCCTCATTTGCTCGTAGTGCTGTAAGCTGGATCCGGATTCGAGACGGGTTGCATCCGTGTGTCCGCTGCTTTTATGATGAGCGCTATGATGTTGGCATTGTGAATTACCGCAAATTTGTGTGACGTGCAAAAGAAAACTTGTTTCTGACGTCACACTGCTGAAAAAGATCAGCATTGCCCTAGTTTCGTGCTCGAAGCTGAAGCTAACCATCTGTGCCGTCGATCAGCGGGGATAAAAAGCCCCGAACAGGGATTGTAAAGCTTGCGTCCTCCACCGATCAACCCAATTTTTAGGTCGCTCGGTCCTTCAGCCTATTGCTTAATGGTAAAAGGCCTTGCAGAATACCTCCCGTCTCCATAAGGAGGTTTAGGCGACGATGAATTCATCAGTAAAGGAGTTAAAAAGTGCACGGTATTAGGAAGGCTTGGAGCAACGTCATCAGCCTGTCCGGATTAGCGCGAACGGCCAGCAATCATTTTTCTGTGCTGCTGTCGAAAGAGGAAAATGGTACGCCGGTTGTGCCCACACACGACCCAGCTAATTCATCCAGCAAATCCTGCCACGCTTAGATAATTATTAGAGGTAATTTTGTGTGCTTAATGGCTGCCCTGGATCTCGTGTCTGGCGTGATTGCGAGCTGGCCTGTGCAGCAGGATACATCATCGGCGCGCTCAATCACACTCGGCTACTCTGCACGCCAAGGCTAGAAGCGAGTGGAGGACGGATTATTATCCGCCTGGAAGAAATTTAAGCTGGTTCTAGTTGCGTACGTGTTGCGATTCTGTCATCGGTACTCCAACAGGGTCTGGTGATGAATGTAATGGTCTATTTCGGGTTTTGGGTGAGGATGCCGTAGTTGACTGACCTTGTGTAGAAGTGACCGCCACTGCTTAATGATGCTAGACGGGATTAATATACAGAGCCTTGTAGCTTCGGCGTCGCCTCTGGTAAGATCGGGTAGGTCAACTCGCGCCAAGCTTTCTCAAGCTGTTGGGTTCAAAATGGGACTTTTAAGGTGAAGAATTCTATCACTGCCTGGTACTAAGTTAGGTATGCGATGATGAACATCAGATGGAAGGTAATTTGCACTCATTGTGAAAGTGGCGTATGAAGACATCGACCTGATATTTCATACGAGTCATTGTCGTGCAGTGCCTCAGCCCAATATTCGCGAGAGCCACCTTTCATTCTTTCGTCTAGACAGCAACTGCCTTCCTTACTCTCATCGGTCTTACAATTGTCCGTTGCCTCTTGCATGACGACATCTGGCACTTGTGGGGAAGTCGAGTTAAATTTGTTTGGGCCGTTACGTCTTCGGGTCGGACCATTGTCGGCGGTAGCCGAGTATTGAACAAAAGCCGTATAGTAGTTTTCCGCATAACGTAACACGATTGACGCCTTCCTCTCCAGCAGCTGCTTGTCCTGCGCTATGAGTGAAAACACTCGGCCGCCGGAAGAATAACGTGCTTCCCTTACTAGATATGCCCTTACTACGCGTTAGTGAGCTGAGACGGTATAGACTGCATTTCCAGGTCCCAGTGGTTAAGTTGTCTCGTGAACTAACGTACACTTTACGGCGTAAAATATTTAACGCCATGCATAGCATATCCTACCACCCCAGTCATGTGTCCTAACTTCCAAGTTGCGGTTGAGTGGCCATTAGAGATCTCTTCCAGATACCATTTTTTACCGTTGCTTTTCCAGTATAACGTCCATTCCTTTTCAGCATCGCTTGACACTGATCAGGGTGTCAATTTGCGCTGTGTGTGGAAACTTATTTCCTAGGTGTAACTGGATCGTGAATTTGACTCTCTTCTTCAGACTTGCGGTTTCCATCTGGAGTACCAAGTCTTGGTTGATCGAATTCGAGTCACATAGAGCTTTATTGGGAGACATCAAAAGACAGTAACCAAGCGTGAGAGTAAGAACTTCCCTTACGTGTAGTTAAGACGCAAAGGTCTCGACTGATTAGATCGTGGAATTAATTTGATCTATAACAGGCAGGAACTGTCGTTCGAAATGAACTTCCAGATTTGCGCTTGATTACGCAAACAACCAGCGTGGCACAAGGAAGGGTGCAAACACCTAATGAGCTCTGCGGCAGGCAGAGGGATGCGGGTCGGGTACTCACTCCAGATCGAGACGTCCTATACGCACGTGCAATGGGCACACGTGCCGGGTCGTCTCGTAGAACGTGAATAAGTCGCCGGTGGTGGAGAGGGCGCGCTCGTGCGATTTGAGACCACAGGCGATCCAATACCCGTATTTAAGGTTGCGGCTGGTCGGGGTTCGTACGCGGCTGCGGTGACCGGCGTACCTGATTGCTACGTCGAGGGTGTCCAATCTCCAAACACTCTCAATGGCATTTCCAAGCACTGCGCCGATAGAGCCGGCGAATACTCTCCGGCGCCATGTGCACCTAGCGGTGAAGTCCAATGCTCGCTGAGCGAAAGTGCACCTAGCGGTGACAACCAATGCTCACCAAGTAGGGGCGCACTTAATGGCGCTGTCGAATGCTTGTCGGTACGGTGCGCACCAATGGTTGACTTCGACTTTTCGACTGGCGAAAATCTGTCTTGCGTCGACGAGCTCATGGAGCCCGCACATGGACTTACACCCAAGCCAGGTGGAAGCGCCGCCTCTGGTAGGGGTAATGGATCTTTTCACGATCGCAGTGGTGTGTTGGTTCGTACAGCCACGAGGGCGTGAAAAGAAAAAGCGGACGACGATCTGCGCACGATGATACCACTTCACGAAGACGCGCTGGGAGTCTGGATGATGGGTAGTCTCGTTCTGTCGTCGCCGCCAGGGTTCTTGGTGTGTACGCATCCACGTGCTACACGGGTTGTGATGCTTGCCTTCTTCGAAGCATATCTCGAAGGGGAAATTATTGCGATTGTACCTCCGTATCTACGAATGCTCAAGTACATCGCTGAGAAGACTCTACTTCTCCAGCTTTTAGAGCACAGTGAGGATAAAACAAACCCGGATGTTTTGAGTCGGGAACTGGTAGAAGGGGCCAAGCGGACTAGTTACGAGGCCGATACGAGACAATTGACTTTCATTCTTCCCGATCAAGCGGCTGCTACGAGTTGGCATAAAAAGTCAGTTTTATTTTTCGGGAAGCGCCTTCAACTTTTGTGTCCCGCTATTTTGGATCACGTAGACATGACTGCTTCCTCAATACCGGCGTTATCAAGCGGTCGTAATTTGTTACAGTATCAAATTCGGGTTCTCGCCAATGGAGTGGCGGCCAGCACGTTTTTGCCATTTTAGAGTCCAGCGGGTCCTGTGCGGTAACTTCAGTGAGTGAGAAGGTGAGGTATATTTAGGTACGCGTACGACCTGCTATATCCTGTCATCCGGCAACAAAGTTACCTAATCGACCGCTACTTTATATACTAGGTAGCGCTAGTCCTCGCACAGCAGAGCGCCTACGCGCAGACTCCTGTCTCGAGATAATCAGGTTCCTCGAGGTCAGCCCGGGGCCCTGTATGACGAGTTGATGGTCGGCTTGAGAGGTCTCCAACCAATGATTGACATCAGTGTCAAGGAAGTTTGAAGCCTCCTGGACCAGACCTGGGTTCGAGATAGCGTGCGTTTGAATAGAAGATCCCGTGTCCATAGCGATTTTTGCCAGTCGATCCGCCATTTTGTTGAAGGTGCGGTATTGATGTCCCCAGCTGGCGACATCAATATCGTTAGCGATGGCACGTGCTTCGTTGAATAAACGCACCAAGTGCGGCTTGCGTGGAGGGTGTTGTGTTCGGAGTTGAGAAAGTACAAGCGCACTGTCCACAATGACGTGCAGGGGTGAGTAGTCGCCTGTCTTTGCTTGACGAAGACCATGCACGAGCCCCCAATATTCAGCGACATTATTAGTGGTATCGGCAGATGCATAAGCCATACTTGATACCCACAGAACGCATGCGGCGTGAGTCGGAACGTGTAGTCGTACAATCACAGACCCGGCTCCACCTGGACCTGGATTTCCGCGGGATCCGCCGTCAAAGAAGAGGAGGTAAAGCTCGCCAGGGAGCCGGTCGATAGGCCGGACTAGTAACTGTTGAAAGGCAAGCTTCAAGTTGATGTACCAAGAAAGTGGTACCAGTATCACTTTTGATATCATCTTTGCGCCGAGCAACTGTGGGAGTTTCATTTTATGATTTCTTCTGCAGAAAGGATTTGATAGCTAGCCAGGAGATAACGAAACTAATAACACTCTCTCTTTTGCATTTAATTGTGTGTCCTCTGTCTCTACCTTTGTGTATTGACTTCTAACAGGTTATGAGCCCAAAGCACGGGGCACTCAGGGGTGACACGCGCGACGGCGCGTATGCGGAAGCAGCCCTGCCACTGGTCACGAAAGGGTCAGTGAGCATGAAGATTATGAAGAGAAGAGCAAGCAAGGTGTTGTCCATGCGGTGGACAATGCTGTCACCAGGAGTGACGACGCGTCAGAGCTCCTGGTGCTGATGAAAGGGATAATCGAACGTCTGGATAGGCTTGAGGAGTCACAGACAAGGTTGATAAAAGCTGAGGAAGGGCGTGGAAGACATAGGGACCGCCTATGACCCGCCTAAACATTCAAGTTTGTTTGTTTCGGCTTTGGGAAGTGTAACAAGAATGCACATGGACAACTTGGAAGGGTCAATGGTGCGCCGGTATTTACTCGAGGAGACCGGTTGAAGGGCAGATGTCGTTTGGTGCTGGACAGCCCGAATATAATGGACCCAGCCAGGACGTTCGCGGTCAAGTTGCACCAGGCTTGGAATTTCTGATATGTTGCCCCAAGCTGGAGGACATGGGTACATGCAACATCCCGACTTAAATGGATACGGTCAGCACAAGTAAATATATTTCAAGTGCGATATCCTGATGCAAGGCAAAGAAGCCGGCATCGGCCGTTTGATGGAAGCGAACTGTATGAAGGATTGGTTCTGGATTCTTGGAGTGGGGTCGGAGTTCGAGCGACAATTTCTTTGGCGCATCCTGGGTTTGAATGGCCTGAAGTGATGGTTGTTTTGTCCTGGGACTGCAGAGAGATACTATAACAGCAAGTTGCGATGTGGTGGAGTCATTACCCACTTTGCAGTACGTAATGGAGAAAATGCTGAAGCATTCAAGACAGTATAACACCGGCCCAAGCGATGAAACTTTTACGCAACGTAAGAACCCGAACCGTAGTTGGCCAGAACTACATGTATTTGGGCAATTTCCGAGTTTGTGGAAACGGTGGTGATTATTTGGTTCTGGACAATATTGTGCAATACGCCTCGAGGCTATGCGACATTTTACGGCAAAAGTTGTCACACGAGACGGACACCTGGTACAACAGAACAGCCGCCACTTTGGCAAGCGTATGAGTTCACATGGGAGAGAAGAACTCGGGCGAGAAAAGTGAGCACAAGAAAGTCGTTAATTCTGTTTCCGATCGACAACGCAAGGAAACGCGTAGATGTCACTTTTGTCACGAAGTTGGACTTTGCAGGAGCGTGTCGAAACGCAAGCGACCACAAGGACCTCGAACAAATTTGTCGCTTGCTGTGAATGAAGTCTCAAGTCAACAAGCGATGTCTGGATCTTGGATAGCGGATCCAGTAGACACTTGGTCAGTGATGAGTCGTGGCTTCACAACGTCGAGTCGTGTGAAGGGGTTTGTCATCAACCCGATGGACAGCCGCCTTATAAGCAAAAGAGGCACTGTGACAATTAACGTCTTGGCTTGTGGAGTTGAGCGTGTGCTGACTCTACAGATGTATACTTTGCTGAGGGTGTGAAGCATAATTTAATTTCGTATGGAATCTTGGACCGAAAGGGTTACACACTTGGATACAATGGAACTCAACGTGTTATATCCAATACAGTTACTGGAGCTGTGGCTTTTGATGTTCAATTGGTTGGTATCGTTCTTGTGGTGCCGTGACGAGTGATGGATAACGATGTTGAACCGGTTGGAGTAATTATGGCGGTCTTGGGTGAAGAAGCAAGTGTCAAGTGTCTTCCGCTGTCCAAAAGGCAGTTTAATATCAAACGTTTGCCATTTAAATCGAAACGATAATAAAATTGGCTCAGATCCTTATAGTGTTTTTGCTTACGACAATCCTTTGTTACCTTCTCAAAAACCAGAACCAAAAAGACTCAACACTCACCTATTGCAGGTTGGAGGTGTTATTTGTCGAACAAGGGCCCGATGTCAAAGGTCGGCTAATCGCTATATGATCAACTTCGTTGTCATAAGACAATTATTGTCGTGTATTTCTTGTGCAAAGAGCACAAAGAAATAAATTTTGTTTTTTTTCGAAAAAATTTATCTTCAATTTGAGAAGGAGGGGTCAGAATTAGATTTATTCCAAGAAGTCGGGGTCAAGAGGAAGAAGCAAACAACCAGCAATGGAAGAACACGACCTCAAAATGCCCGTTCGTATTTGCGCAGGATTGCCACAATTTCTGGGGTGACCTTTGAATATGCTGCTTATATTTTGAACGGGCCCCTACAAATTCGAATGCTGACGAATCACATGAAGGTGCTGACGGACAACCCGTCGCTAGGTGAAATTGTCGTTTTTGGATCACCATGTACAGTGTACAGAGATCCTAAGAAGAATAATTTTGCTCCTAGAGGACAAAAGGATTATCATTGGTTGGTGAAGAAAAAAGGTATCGTGTATACCTGCGAAGGATAAAGTGGTTGTTGTCTGCAGCATGTTCAAAATATTGAGACACTGAACAAGACCCAGAACAAGCAAGTTCAAGAATTGTATCTGCAGAATCCTACTAGTCTGGAAGATAATGACTCGCGCGAGATCAAGTTCAGGAGGGAGGTAATACAATATCAAGATCTAGAGGAGGAGAGTCGTAAGGAAGACAAGAATATGGAGAAAGGACTCCGTGGACAAGAAAGAAGATGGTTGTGACAAGATCGGCGAGCAAGAATAAACGCTCAGCAGGAAAAGAAGAGAGTCAGCATGGATACTGAAGTTGTCAATGTTGTCACAACATCTGACCCGAAAACTTTGGTGAAGCTATGTAGAGTCACAAGGAAGGATGGATGAAGCAATTTCTGAAGAATGAAGCCTTGGAAAATGGAGTTTGGAGTATTGTGAAGGCTCCAAAAGATATTCGAGCACTTCACGAAGTGGGTTTTTAAGAGAAGGTGACGCAGAAGGTGACATCGAGAGATTGAAGGCGAATTGGTCGCTGTGGAAATGAACAAGTCTTTGGAGTGAATATGGAGTTACGTTTGCTCTTGATTGATATGTCAGGTGAAGATGATTTTCGCACTGCAAGAAAGTGGAAGGGCCTGCGAAGATGGAGATGTTCAAAGCTTACGTTAAAGCAGACAAGGAAGATAATCTCGATATCTACATCCATACCACAGGGCATGAAGATTGCAGAGGACTTAAAGAAGAAATCGGTGTTTCACAGAAAACGAGATTGTTTTGGACTGAAGAAGGCACTATATGGATTAAAACAAGCAGGAAGACTATAAGGTAAATTGACCAGAAATTGGTTGATATTGGTTTTAAACAAAGTCTCACGGAATTGTGTCTACTTTAGATGGACACATGGTATCTATTGATTGTTGGAGTTTACGTGGATGACCTTCTGGTAACAGGAAGTGATCAGGGTTCTGTGAATTCTTTTTGATGAGCTCAATTACTATCGGTCAAGGATCTTGGATGTGCTCGCAAGTTTTTGGGTATGCGTATTCAATACAATGACGAAAATGGTACACTTTTGATCAAGAAGTTGGAATTATGGAATGCTGAAGAGCATGGTCTCGAAATGGATAGGTGCGTGTTCAATTACTCAAGACGGAAGATAATGAAGAATCGGTAGCTGTGCCGTTACCGGTATTTGGAGAGATGGTGTGGTTACGGTGAAGTTTTCAGTACTTGTGGAAGTTTACTATGGATTTCGCGTTGACCAGACCAGATATCGCTTGGATAAAGGTCAAGAAGGACTCATAAGCCCACGATGGGAGATTATAAGTTGGCCAAGAAAATTGAAGGTACCCATCTGGCAGAAGACATTGGACTTTCTATGATTGGAAGAGAAGATGAACCAGAGCTGTTAAAGTGGTTGGGTATAGTGATGGATTTCCTGCCGACAAAGGTGACAGAAAATCTGTCACGGGTGGTTTAATTACGATTGATGGCATGCCAGTGAGCTGGATGTGCAAGAAGCAAGGGGTGTATCACTTTCGACCATGGAGGCTGAGTTTACAGCTGCATCCATTATGGCTCGAGAACTTTTGGGCATTCGGAACTGTTGCAAGAGTTAGATTTGAGATTTGAAGAGCCTATACCACTGCGAGTGGATAACCAAGCGGCTTTGAAACAACTTGAGGTGATAGAGCTTCGGCTAAGGCCAAAACATTGATTGCGCATCAAGTTTGTCGGTGATTTTACGATGCGTGGAATTATAAAGCCCGAATATTGAGAGACTATGAATATGCTTGCGGACATACTAACAAAGGCATTGGCTGCACCGAGATTGGTCGAGATGCGTCAAGTGATCGGTTTAAAATAATCGATCGGAGTCGACGATGACAGAGCAAGAATCAAGTGTTTTGTCAAGGACAGTGTCGACGAGGAGGAGTGTTGAAAGGCAAGCTTCAAGTTGATGTACCAAGAAAGTGGTACCAGTATCACTTTTGATATCATCTTTGCGCCGAGCAACTGTGGGAGTTTCATTTTATGATTTCTTCTGCAGAAAGGATTTGATAGCTAGCCAGGAGATAACGAAACTAATAACACTCTCTCTTTTGCATTTAATTGTGTTTCCTCTGTCTCTACCTTTGTGTATTGACTTCTAACAGTAACGAAGGAGGTTCATCGTAGCAGAGTAGGGTATCAGCCAAGGCCGACCGTACCTGCGCAAACAGTTGCCCATCTTCCCCCATCTCGGGCTGATAGGTTGATCGCCGAAACCGTCTGACCGACCGACGAAAGCTCGTCTTGGCGCTGGCTATGTGCACCTCCTGTGATAACGACGAGTCTTCCATGCGGCGGAGGCGCTCGACCCAGATTGCATGAAGGGTCGTTGATACGACAAAACGCCACAGCTCTCTAGCTGCCGGAAATATAGCAGCCTGAGCTTTTGATAAATTAGTGCCTGGGTCCATGGATTGCTTAACTACATCCCAGGCGTAGGGTGGAATCGCCGGGAGGTCCAGGCCAAACACCCAAACATTCAATTCAGCCTCCTGGAAAGTTCCAAGCCATCGCCACCGATCAAGGAGAAACTCCCAGTGACGACGCGCACTAGAGCATGTCAAAAAGATATGGCTTGCCAGAGCTGGACCAGCATTCGCACACTCAGGGACCGGGCAAGACAGATCTTGCTTCGCCCAATTCCAGAGCGGAAAACTGTTACTCTTTAGCCTATACAGCGTCTGAGCGTTTGTCGGAAAGGACGCTCGTATTCGTCGAATGTCCCTCCAAGTAATCAATGTTGTACCTTCCGAGATCACGTGAAAGTCCGTCGTTGCCACACGTTCATCAAGAAGTCTAGTCCCTACAGCACGGCGCCGCCGGGTGATAATCTGTTTCAGTTTACGTCGCTGCGGCCGCCACCTTCGTCGTCCAGCCCACATGTGGACAACGCGAGTAAGCGCCGGATGCGCTCCAAAGTGAACAGGAGACTTACTAGCTGTTGACGCGGCTATATCGCATGCCGCCATCGACGCGATCGGTTGCACTCCACATTCCATGCCCGTATCGAAATGTCTGAGCGACTTACCGTCACCAGTTAGAAGCCAGTCATGGAAGTGGTGCACCTTTGTAGAGTATGCAATCACAGACCCAGGCTCCAGTGGTCGATATACCAGTGACGGGAAATTGTAAAGCAGCGCGAGGCAGAAGGACCCAAAATGCCGTCGCTTTGCCATAGACTGGGACGCCATGTCACGCGTAGGAGAGAACAAGACCATGCCACTCTGCAGGGTCGTCCACGTCATTGTCTCGCCAAGGTAATTCAAGTTTCGCGCAAAGTCGGCCCCGTTCAAGCTGTATGCCTTACCCTGTCGATCTCTGAGCCACGACATATCCTTAAGCGTGGCGTATGCCAGCCACCGGTGGTCAAATCGCCCTGATGCTGCTACATCAGCTCGCATCCCAACGCGCAATCTGTCATCAATAACCCGCCGAACATCAATTGTGACACTACCGTCTTCATTATAGGCGACTGCTGCTCTCGACGTAAACGACAAGGCTCGTCTACAGACCTCGTTGACCGCACCTTGGCGTGCATGTTGAGCCGAAGAAAGTCCAACAATTTCAGACCCGGTTAGCCAAAGCGTCGCGCGATATCGAGGGAGCTTGTCTTCCGTCCAACAAGGCGTAATGTAAGCCGTACCCGACCCGGTAGATCCCCATAAGAAGTCACCAATTAGTAAGTCTCTCGAAGAGACAGTAGCAGCCCATTGTCCAACTGCTGTTGCCGCCATCGTCATCAATTCCGTCCGAATACAGGGAACCGCTAGTCCTCCCTGCTGGATAGGTAAGGCCGCTATCTCGGAAGATACCCAGGGTCTGGATCGCTTTCTATCTCGGACACCCCATACAAAGTCCATTATTAAGCTGTGCAACCGGGTAACCACTGCGGGAGGAGGCCAACAGTGCCGTGCTAAGAAGTTAATTTCGGGCACCGCGATAGCACTTGCTAGCAGAGCACGTTGTTCCACTGTGTGCGTCTTCTCGCGGGCTAAGACAAGTCGGCTCCATATAGAACGTATGCACTTATTCCAGTTATCGGCCACCGCGTCCTGTTGTCCCACCAATACACCAAGATACCTGCAAGAGTCACTAGGGGCCTGCAGAGTGAGACCACAGGTGCTAAAAGGTTGCTCTGATCCGCGAGGGTCCAGCTCAATGATCATTGATTTTGACCGATTCGTCCGGAGACCCGACACATGAGCAAATTCCTCTAGAATAGCTACAACAGGCGTAACCGAGGACCGATCGCGAAGGTAGACGGTAACTTCAGTGAGTCGTGGGTGATCGCACGGCTCGGATGCGCATGATTCCATTTTTTCGCGGCGACTTTCGACACGGTGGCATGCCCCGAACAATTCAAGCTGGATACGCATATCGCGACTTTTGGGACGGAGCTCTTCCTCCACCATTTCGGCACTTTCAACGGGTCCCCTGTTTTACATGCTATTCGCATTATCACTCGAGTACCAAGTAATTTGGGCGCACGTGCAGCTATCAGGCTGAGCCCCACCGCGTGTTTTCCGGTATGCCACTGGCGCTTCAGCCCGTTAGCAGTCTGACTCTTACCCACCTCACCGTTGCAGATAGACTGCGACACGTTACTAGGTTGGCTGACACTTTGGCGGCAACGACGGAGCAGTTAAAGGCAAATGGAGACAAGAACTCCCCGCTGACCAAGGTTTCGCAGGTACCTCACCAGCCCAGGCTACCAAAAGATATATCAGCATCTACCCCATCTGCTATTGGAACGACACCGAGTGCTACTGCTACTCGCACCGCTAATCCGTCAACTGGAATCGGGAATCGCGCCCCACGAGACCCAATCGAAGCCTTCGCCGGGCCCTGCTGCGTCGTCGGTTTGCCCCCGCCGTCGAAAGCTGCTACCGGGGCAATCAAGTCTGTTCAAAGGGTCTCGGCCCTTCCCACCAAGCACAGCACACCGAACACGGCCAAGTTCAACAAAAATTATTACATTCGAACAAGGCAACGGTCCGTACGAAGGGCAAACCGGCTGCGGTAAAACCTAAGCGAGCTTTCTCAATTTCTTTTAAGTCCAACGACCAGCGCATGAGAATGGTTCGTGAACTAGCGGTTCTGTTAGGGGGAGACCAACCGGTTGCCGCAGCAACTACAACAACAACAACGGCTGCCAATTCGTCTTTACCTTCGACCTCCTCGAAAAAATGGGTACTTGAGGCGGCTCGGTCAAGGTTAGAGGACGCCCAAAGCGCGGTCGAGAAACTTACTTCGACAGCTACGGAGACGAATCGCGCTACCGACACCAAACGTGCCTGCTACTTCGAGGCTTAGCTCATGCACTTGGCGAGGCTATTGCTCGTGAGACAGCACCTGGTGGGGAACCAACCTCTATCGCCGAAAACAGTGCCGAATCACTAAGGATGGAATACGATCATCGGATCGCCGGTGCAGCGGCGGCACGCGCTGTGGCGGAAGCAAAGAAGGCAACAAACACTCTGAAAACATTGAAACGACGATTGGCAAAAATTACACCGAAACCGACGCCTGCTAGCGAGATTAAGCTTCCGCATGTTGCGGATGTACCTCACGAATTGCCTGCTGCGATGGCGGAAAAGACCAGGGAGAAGAGTCGCGCGATCATTGAGCGCTTGTTGTCGTCTTATGTTCGCCACAGACGTGGCTTACCGAGTGCCACCACAGCGACCCCTCTTGGATTGGGTCCCGCTGAAGTGGAGCCTCCCGATTCTGTCCCGGCTAAAATGCCTTCTGATTGCCCTCAGGATTCTGAAGGGCAACACTCTGGGCTCCCGATGTTATTATGGCCGAAAGTACGGCCACATTAAAAGACACCATGCACATGGGTGATCTGGCCGTAGGAGCGGTAACTCCACCACCCTGTGTCGCTAGTGTTCCCATTTTGGCGGATCCAGCTAAGGCGATTAAAGACGAGCTCAAGGCCTCTTCCGGACAACAGTAGTCTCAGTACAAGGTATCTATTCGCTACCGTCGCGTCCTATCCCATGCCGGGCAGACCAGGAAACCCGGATCGTGTTACGAAGTCCGATGGATCACTTCCGCATTCCGAATACTCACGATCAGACATTCCGTGCAACTCGAGTGCGCAAGGTCCCGGACATTGCGTCTGCTACAGTCGCAGCTACCGCCGTCCCGTAAAGTACGAAACCGATTGATGCAAACACAACTGCGATTCGGGCATGGGTCATCCAGCACATAGTAAGGACTGCCCTGCCGGCTACTATGCTGTTGGTACAAAGGGACAAACTGCGTGGGTCAACTCGTGCGCGCTGGACCTGGCAGCAAAGGTCAGTGGTCTCCCGTACCCGGTTGCTTATCTAGTATCAATGCTGGGAGAAGCTTTGCGAGCTTTCGGACATGCAATTAACAGCGAAACTCAACTGGCGGTGATTCGTCAGCACACCTCACACGCAGATGCAAAACTTCGAGAGCTGTGCACAGGGTGGGTCGCGACGGCTGATGGATAAACTGGACAAATTCGGTGAAAAACGACTGACAATATCCAAAGGTGGCGACACTTCAGTAAACTACAGCCAGAGTTATTGAGTCCTACCGACGTTTAACCGCTTGACGACTTGGATCATTGGGGAGTTCTTAATGTCCTGTGTGCGCTGCTCCCCGAGCTTGCACCCGTTGAGGAAGAGACGAACGTGGTGATGCCGCAGACAAAGGCTGCACTACAACACTTTTTGAGAGAGGAGCACGCGGCCGTCTCCAGTAGTGTGCAAACCTGTCAACTGGGAACCAGCGATTAACCTTTTCGCCCGCGATGGTCAGCTTCTGGACCCTCAGTACTGAGGGTCCATATTACGGTGGAGGACCACTCGTCATTGAGTGTGGTTTCATTTATTTCAAGCGAAGCCGTTTAACTAACAGTATTGGGTATCCTCCAGCTCAACGTCACACCGATGGATTACATCGACGTCGTCTTCGCCTTTTGCTTAAGACATCCCGGTGTCTGCACGAGAACAGCATCGGTCTCCATTTACAGAGCATCGCAGGATTTCCCAAGCATCCAGAACGCTGCACAGAATGATTAAGTCACTTTCGTCAGCGTGAAATACGTGGATCCCTTGACCTAATCCTTCTACATGAAACGCGGGTCGGTTTGGGTAAGTCGGCATCTCTGAACCATCGCTATAATTCTACGTGGGGATCTGTGAACAAGCCAGGGTACACGCTATGGACAGAGCCCGAGCACCCTCGCGGAGGCGTGGCTATTTTATTGAACCCGTACTCTTCAATTACGAAAATGGATCCGTGGAATGAGGATCATTGGACACCGCACTGGATGCTTGTACGTATTGCCATTATGGGCGATCCCGTTATTGTGGTCAACGTTTACGCTTTGAGTGATACGACTGTACGAGAGGCGCTGTTGAACGGTTATGACTTCTGATGATGGATTACGAAGGACCTCTGTTCATAGGAGGAGACTTTAACTGCTCTCTGGTTCCGATACTTGACCGTACTTTTGTCTCGCCACCGGGCAGACATGAAAATATGGCGCTCAGAAGGCTTCTCGGTCGGGCACAGCCTAACGTTTCTTGAAGATGCAATGGAGCTAGCCGAAGACGACAGAGCTAGATCATATATTCAGGCCGCGGCTCACACTTATTTTTGCACGTTGCCGGGAGGTGAATCGGCAAGTTAACGCCTGGGTCGGTGGTATGTGAGCTCTTCACATGCTGATTGGAATTGAGACATCGATATGTCGGTGCCTGGTCCAGCAGCTGATCATAACGGAATCGGTATACGGATTGGGGCTCCACTTAATGTGGTGCGCGTACGTAAACCAAGGCGAGTCTATCCCGTTCCTGGATGTGCGCGCGAGAACGCGAGCAAAGGAATTATTGCGGCCGTTGCGCTGGAAAGCTTCAAGTCGACAAAATTACCTCCGTTCCGAAGGCGGACTATCGCACAGCGCACAGTTTGGCCATCTGTTGGGATAAGTGGAAGTTCAATCTCCGCCAGATTCTTTTGGCGAAGACCAAAAACGCCCGGCAAGGTCTGACAAAAGTTATAGGCAGCGGCTGAGTCTTCTATAAGCCCGCTTAGATGCGGCGCTATTGGAGGCACATTCACCAAATGTATCACCAGCGAGTGCCCACGAGAACGGCGGTCAATCTAGCTTTGCTGACCCTTCGGCGGATATCCTGTGGATCTTCGACGTGGCGTTTCCAAGTTTCGACGTTTCTGGCAGCGTTTATAGAAGGAGCGACTTCTTCTTCAGCACACATATTCTCATGGAGAGACATCTCGCCGTTTCTACGCCCTTGTGTCGACTAAATTTCAAGACAACACCTTCGTTTCTTCGGGAGGAAAAGTCGCATATGGCCCGGACCGGTCCCAGGAACTGGTTGATGAGATGGCTGACGATTGTGAGCTTATAATGACTCATGCTTTTGCCTTTCCCGAGCAACCTCCGCATTTTTGGCCAAGGCATCCCCACCGAACCGAGTTGACGACTCCAATGTGACATCAGACATTGATCAAGAAAATGTGAGCACGGCCTTGAAGCGGCTCAAACGCGGTAATTCTGCGGGCCCGGATAAGCTTATCGATTCCTATTTACAAAGATTACGCGGATGTGCTCGCGCCTGTACTCGCCGCATTTTGTACATCAGATGGCTAAAGTGCAGCGTCTTTCCGGCTTTGTTTGGCGAAGCGAACATTATAACGTCTGAAGAAAACGTCGGCTTCCGCCATGCCACTAGATCATCGCCTAATAGCGCTGCTCACAGCGACTACAAGTTATTTACCAAGATTCTCTCAATCGAGTGCGTCCGCTGCTCACATCTCGTTTTTCCAGCTCAAGTTAATTTGTCCCGCATCTCTCAATCTATACGGCTTTTGACATTTTTACTGCGGCTCGCAAAGCCGCGACTTTGGACAGTGATTTACATGGTTCCATTGTCCTGCTTCTCGATTTTGCCAAGGCGTACGACACGTTGCAAAGTCACTATCTACTTGCGGCGCTTACGTGGCTTAAATTTTCACCTCAATTTGTATCAGTCGTGGCGGCGTTACACCATGATACTACCTGCCGATTTCTTGTCAATGGTTATCGCTCAAGTCGCAGAATCGTTGTCTGTGGTATTCGGCAAGGTTGTCCCCTGGCCCCACTTCTATTTATTATCGCGCTTGATAGTGTATACAGGGTGATCCAAGAAAGGAAGGACATTCGCGGGGTACCTCTCACGGCTGGACGACGTACTACCGAGTTCAAAGTATCGGGATACGTTGACAACACCGCTGTATACCTTCGCGATCGGCCGGCGGTTACAACTTTTGTAACTAATCTCGATGACTTTGCCAACGTTTCGGGCCTTTGAACAAATAGAGCAAAATCGATGATTATTAGCTGGACTCTCGTGGGTTGTCTCTGCCACTCTACACCTGTGGCCTCAATCTACAGTCTTTAACTGCATCTTGCCGGTACCTGGGTGTCTTAGTGGGTCAACAAGATGCGGCGGCTAAAAACTGGAACAAATGCATACGATCTCTCTGGTGCCGGCTTGTATTAGCCCGGAAGAAAACTCACACGGTAAAACATCGGGCTAGGACCGCCAGCGCTGTTGCGGTGCCCAAAATAACCTCCTTAACTTGGCACTTTTGGCCTCCTCCGGACGTGGTACCCGGTTGCACAGCTTGATTATGAACTTTGTATGGGGCGTCCGTGATGGCAAGAGGTCCCGACCATGAGTTCCCTCCGGTCTGGCGTCTCTTCCGATCCAGCAAGGGGGACCAGCAGTGCCTTGTATTCGAATGGAACTAATAACTATGGAGGCTACGGCGATCGGTCAGTGGGCTGCTAATTTTTCTTCGCGCGATTTACTGATTGGTGACTATATATGGGGATGTACTGAGACGGGGTCGGAATGCATCACGCCTTGCTATGCGAATGATAAGCAACCTAGACATCACGCGACTCTCTAGTTAATTGGGTCGGCCTTTGTTGGAATCATGCGGGCTAGACATGCCCGACTAGGTGAGGTCAAGGAATTTGCCGCAGAGCTATCTCATTTTCATCGAGAGCCCAGGTCGACTATATAGACTATGGTAGTATAACAATTGATGCTCGCAGAGAAATTAATGATCAACTGCGTCTCGAGATGCGAGCGGAAGTAGCATCCTTGGGGCGTTTTGACTGCCGGTGGCTGGTGCACGCAACGCTCCAGGATATATCATGGCTGAGATATAGCCGCGGTAAGGCATATAACTTAAAGGGGGTCGATTTCGCGAGGGGACCGAGTTACCTTGGCGAAATATTGTCTTGGAGAAATTTAAAGGGTGGGATTGTCTGTTTTTCACCTACGCGTGACATGGCTACACAATTGATGGCGAAACGGCGGCATATTGGGTCCTTTTGCGTCACCCTCTTGTACAACTTTCCAACATTGATGTATCGGGCATTTGAGCTGGGCGCGTTGATTGCGTACTCGACAAAGGTGCACCAGTATCACGCTTGGCTACTCCATCACGACGGTACATCGATGGCTCATTTTGATACGGGCATAGACTGCGGAGTACATCGCGTCTCGTCCATGTCGGCCCGGGATGTTGTCGCGTCTACGGCGAGTGGAACCCCCGTCCACTTTAGCGCGCATCCGGCGCTTACGAGAATTGTACAATTTTGGGCTGGGAGGCGATGATGGCGGTCACAACGCAACAAACTTAAACTGACGATCTGCCAACACCGTCGCGCTGCAAGCACTCGCATTCTCAGTGATCGTGGGGCGAGGGGGACTTTTTATTGATCTCAGATGGTACGCAGTAAATTACTCGGCGAGGAATCCGGCAGAATTGAGCTTCCTTTCCGACCAATGCTCAGACGCTGTATCGACTGAAGAGTAACAGCTTCCTTCTATAGAATTGGGCTAAACATGATCTGTCGTGCCCCGTACCAGAGTGTGTGGCTACAGGTCCGGCGACGCCAAGCCATGTATTCTGAAATTTTCCTACCGCACGTTGCCTTTAGACCTATCTCCTTGATCGGTGGCGGGGCTCGGCTATTTTGCGGCAACCAACTTGAACGTATGAGTGTTTGGCCTCGACCTCCCGGATACACCGCACGCCGCATGGGATTCGATCAAACAATCTTTCCATTCTGGCATAGATGCTACGAAATTTCAGGCTGCAGTCTTCCCTACTTCTCTAGAGCTATGCGGTTTGTCGTATATACAGCACTCTTCGCCACCTGGGCCGAGCGCCTCCGCCGCATGGACGAATCGTCTTTGACTCAAGAGGTTAACACAGACAGATTCCATACTCTCTTTCGACGTGCGGCCAGCCGGTTTCGTGAGTCATCCTACCAGCCTGACAAGGGCGGGGACGAGATACTCTTTGCACAGATCAGGTTGGTATTGGCTGAAGCTTCTCATTTCTGGTGACCTGCCTGCGCTACAACAGCTTCCTATTGCACAGTGCCCTGGAGTGATTTACCTTTTTTATTTTCGATGGAGGA